TTTACATTATATCAATAAAATAAATTTCACTTAATCTAATATCTTTGATTTTTCAGATGATGACTTGGTTATGAACGTTAAAAGTGAAATTTTCTATTGAAGACCGTATGAACAAATCACAGTCTGGTAAGTGATTTAAATTTTTTTTTTTACTTTTCCATAAATGTTTTTTTTAGATATTGTAATGAAAGTTTACACAATCACGAAATTTCGAATTTTATAATATCTATCATTAGATTACAAAAAAATCTAATGCAATCTATATTGTTACATTATAAAGAGATATTTAGTAGAATACTACTCAAGTTTTACTTGTGGTATTATTGAATGGTTTCATAAAACTTTTGCATTATCATCATATCATTTTTATTGAATATCCATATGTACCATGAAGCTACTTGGGGAAAATATTATTAACACAATGCTTTATTACTATTATGTGTTACAATAACAAAATGGTGTACAAGAATATTATAAGATGTGTATACCAATGGAATTAACGAATTATGCAACAAAAAGTAACATGCTGTGATATATGTTGTATCATATAAGGCTAAATGATTTTGATTTAATGATTTTGCATATTTATTTTATAAGTTTGTTAGATGAAATAAATGGGCTATGGTTTAGCAGTTTCTGTGGATAGCTCAACAATTCTATTTAGTTTGAGTTAAATTCAAGACATTAATTTATAATTTATGCTCATTTAAATGTATCATATTGCAATCAATAACATTTATGTTAATTTTTGTTGTATAAAAACGAAATATTTCCTTGTATATTTATATTATGTGTATTTATGTATGTATGTTTATATGTAGCCACACACATGCATTATACATACATCTTTTGGATTATGGATATAAAATCTTGAAAGGCCAGCTATACGTAATTTTTCTAATCAATCACTCGAAATAATTACAAAACTTGTGCTTGGTTTTTTATTGTTGAAATGTTTCAGTAATTACTTGAAACTGCATAAAAACATAAATAGTTCAAGTATATTCAAATAAAAAATATCACAATCTTTAATGGAAAATAAGAAGAAAGAATATCAAATTAAATAAATCTCTATTCATGTCTGGTGATTTACAAAGTCATAAGTTGAAGTAATTATTTTAGTATCTTGTGTTCATGTGTTAAAGAATACTATATTTGATATAACATTATAAGATGTAATGATTAGCATACAATTTGAAAATGACTAAACGGCATAATTTTCAGTTATCATTATTTATAATCGCCTAAAATGGAATTTCTATTTAATTTTTGATTTTGCTAGTGTATATGATTAAAGCAAAATCCGTACATTTTTATTAAAAATTAATGACCATGCTCGGACATTATATTAAAAATTTAATATATATGTATATATATATATATATATATATAATCATTATTTATATAAATTAACAATATTTGGGTAAAAATTTTTGTACAATTTTCAATTTCTACACTTTCCACTCATAATGGTTTACATTTAATTGTTACATGCAGTAGTTTAATTACAAAATGAAATTTTGTCATGATAGATCTTTTTGAATCTAAGAAAGTACATAGATTTTGTTCTTTCAGTATATAACCTTAAACTGAGCTGCATTTCAAATGCTATGGTTATATTCTAAGTTTAGTGTCAAGTGTTTCCGATGATATTTGAAATATATAAGTACATACATCATGAAGATTTTTATCAAGCATAAATAATTAATAGGGAAACAGAAATAAATGAGACAACAAACAGATTACTAGAAATGGCTTATATGTTCTTTTGTAATGATAAAATTGAAGAGCAAAAATTATTTAAAAATCCGCGAGTCTAATTGAAAATCACTTATTAAATTATTACATACAAAATAAGCATTGTTAATACAAGTTATTTCAACTACTTTGTTGTAGGTAAACTTTTTCAAACAATCTTTTCTGAAAACGTATCTATACGAGTGCGTCCAAGCGTATTTATTGTGCGTCCAATTGTAATTATTAAAAATTGATCACTAACTCTGCTTAAAATGTTCCACACAAGTTACTTATAATGGTATTTATTATTTTATTATTATTATATCTTTTATTCATTTATTTAATCTTTTGTTTTTTTCTTTTTATCCTTTGTTTGAATTTCAATACCCACTTTCAACTTACAGATTGAAATTGTAATCTGATTGTTGAAACAAGCTGTGAACAATAGAAAAAACAACTAACCTGCTTGCTTTGATACCCAATCAAATTATTATTTCTTTATTTTTTTAAAAATGCTCACGCCAGTGAGGTTTCTTAAAATGTCATGCCCCCCAAATTTCAATACAAATTCTAACTTACTGAGCTTTAAACTCAAGTCTCCGTGTTGTGTTATTTCAAGTCTATTTTTTTTTTATTAATAAATTATAGCAAGTTCTTGTACATTTGGTTACATTCGGGCATTCGGTTTGTTTCTTTATAAATCCATTTCTTCACACTACTTAGCCAATATAAAATACCAATTGGAGTAACGTAGAACGAAAGTATATCTAATTTGCTTTTTTTGTTAAATTGACTATATTTTTTTAAAAAGCTTGTTATTTTTTTCATTTTCTCACCAATATTTTATGCTTGATAAAAACCTGAAGATGGAACGTATTTAGTTCTGAAATGTCGAAAATCAATTTTTACTTCAAATACTCTTATATTTTTATTTGCTCGAAACATAGCCTTTTCTATTTAGTCTTTCGCGCACTGGTGGCGTTAGCAATTAGTTTCTTAAAAACAAAGCTTCGTTTCATAGACGGATCAATATTCATAAAGAAATTGCATATCTCATTTCAGAACTTGTTGAAGTCTCTACATAAATGACCTGTGACTTCAAACAATTTCAAATGTCACTTGATTCTATTTGTTCGGACCAATTCTCGAAGATAGAGATAAGGCATCTATTAATCACGTGATGTTTTTAGGGACAGGGGGGGTTTAACAAAAAATCACAAAATATCATGTGGTGTAGGGAGGGGTATAGTAAGATATCAAATGTATTTGTTTTTTAACTAATTTTTTTTAAATATCAAATATTTTCAAAAAAAAAAATTAAACCTTTTATTTTTTTCACGCAACTAAAAATGCACATGATTCGGTAGGAGAGGAGGGGTAATTTTGAATATCATCACATATCACCAAGGGAGTGGGGGGGTCCAAAAATTCCTAAAAACTCGATCACGTGATTAATGGACGTCTCTTATCGGCGATATTGAACAACAAATTATAGACATACTTTTATTAAGATATCATTTACATTTTATGTTTACATATTATCCCATAGATTTTTTTTTGGGAGTGGTATTAAAACCAGACAAATCATAGTCTGGATATATATGTATATGGTTGTATGTATGATTTTTATATGGATACGGAAATAAATGTACGTTTGTCGTTAGGCTTACATTTTTCGTCTGTCTATGTCGACTTCAATAATAATACCGAATAAAACCTCCTCTTTTCGTTTGTTTCTCGACCCAACGCGCCGTTGGGCATTAACTTTTTGGTGGAATTAGATACTGATTCGCTTCCTTCCTTCCATGAAACATTGGAAAGGCAGTCTCTGTGCCACCCAATATTGCGAACGTACTGGTAGTATTCCAAGTGATACTTGAGTAATTAGTATATTATTTAACATTCTCTAGTTGGTATTGACGGTTTCACTTTTATTTGGGAAGAAGGGCTTAGAAGCTCTCTTGTAAATATGTTTCATAGACATCCAGTCGCTTTTTCGCAGCGCATTTCGCATGTCGATATACTAGTATCTTGAATTTGAATGATCTACTATCGCCCTTTGTTGGCGTCATTTATAATGTTTTTTTTTGCAAACTTTGGTCTTTGTCAGCAATCTTTGATATTGTAATCAACAAACCTCTGTTCTGGTCTTGTTGATACCCTACCCACAGCCGTGTCGACCTGCTCATCTGAAATGCCCTACATTAATTATTCAACTCACAATCTATGCATACTTTTTTCTCTGCAGGCCAAATTAAAGTACGTTTGGTCTAAATAATGTTGGTGTATATGTATGCATTAGCTTCCCAAGGTGGCATACGCTGCTCCGCTATAGGCAATATAGCAATATATATAAAAATAACATTTTTTTACTTCCCAAAGGAGAAATGTTTTCATCAAAAAATCCGATTCGCTAATTTTATGTTTTCTCGTGAACAGATTTCAAAAATTTAAAAGCCATTCGATGTATCTCGATGAGGACCATTGTTTGTCAGTTTTGTACGACTATCGGCCAAGCCGTTTTTTTTTATAAATAGCAGAAAAGTGAAAAATTTTTCGTCCACGTTTTAGCCCGCAATCCTGAATCGATTTTGAAAGTTCAAACCGTTCGAAAGATATTGGTTGGAAATCGAGTTTTTGGTAGAGATCGGCCGGGCCGATCAAAATCAAATCAATTTTTTTTTGATTATTTTTATTACTTTTGATTTTTTTTTGACGGTAGATACCATAGTTTTACAGATCATACTAAAATATTACGGCCTTACAACAAGTCGCTTAATTTTAAAAAATCGTCAAAGTTTGCAAAAATTAGTATCGTTTTTTTGGCTTTTGCTAAATTTAGATCTTTCATTGAGGCGTTCAGGCGTTGCTCAAAAAAACGAATTTCGATGTAGATTATCTTTTCTCAGTTTTGTGCAGCGAACGGCTAAGCCGTTTCTTTGTAATTTCGAAAAAAGTGTTAAACTTTTCGTCTACATTTAAGTTCATATTACTGAATCGATTTTAAAAAATTAAAAACTGTTCGAAAGATATTAGTTGGGAATGATACTGATTAGTTTTAGGTGAAAATCTACCGACCCGTTTTCTTGTAATTAAATGCTGAAAAAAAATTTAAGCCGATTATTATGGAACTTTTTTGGCGATATATATAATGGTCTTACAGAACTTACTGAAATATTACGTTTACAGGCCTTACGACAAGTAGTTTAATTTTAAAAATTTATCAAAGTTTGAGAAAATAAGTAGTTTTTTGACGTTTGTTAAAATTAAAATTAGACGATTTACTGGGTATAACGATAGAGTACTTGGTCTTAATAAACATGGTAAACAACCATTAAAGTCCCACGAAAACTGGTTCAATTATAAAAATTGTTGATTTTTTAAAATTTGCTTTTAGAAAATACTCCGAGTTTTGTTTTCAATTATGTGTAATAAATCTACTCGTAATACTTTCAATCACTCATACATTTATTTTTTATTGATTAGGTCGATTATTTACACATATCGGGAAGTTCATGTAACTTGCCTCAAGGCAAAATACCAATACCAATTAGTTACGATTTATTTTTTATAATATATATATATATATCATATATATATATATATATATATATATATAATATAAAGGAAAGGAAAGGAAAGGAAAGGAAAATACATAAAATTTTTAGAAAGGGGAATACTGGTAATGGGGATGATAGACGAGGAAGTGAAAGGAAATCATTGATTTGTGGTGGCTCTCACACCATGGATCTGTCTTCGAGCAGTATATCATTTATTATTTTTCAGGATTTTACACAAAAATATAAATATATATAGTCAAGGAATTAGCCAGGAGTCATGTGCTCTATTCGATGAATTACTATTCAAAATTCATTAAAACTTAATGGGGTTTGGTGTGCCATCTAACTTCAATTCAAGCTCAATATAAATATCCATATATATATATATATATATATATATATATATATATATATATATTATCTTAATATTCATGTTTATATGCCGAGTGCCCATTATTCAATGCATGAGTATGTGTGGTAAAAAACATACTGGCGTACATATATGCAAACATAACACGCATACACATACACATTTATAATAATTTGGTTATATATCTTGAATAATTGGTTAAATGTTCAAAAGAACCGCTGTGTCTGTGTTCTACAATGAGTTTTCTCGTATAATTCTTAATTCATATGGATTTCCTCGCCTGAGATAGAATCAATTTAATTTACATTAGAAAATATGCGAAATTCTTGTTAAGTAATTTGTTACTTAATTTTCAAGCGTATGTTCCGATATGTGCGCTATTATTTTTTAAAATGTGGTTTTGAACACAGTTCGGGCATCGAAATTTATTTTTTTCAAATGAGAAACCGATTTTAGTGTGATCAATAGTGAATTTAAAACTTCTCGTGGAAAAAGTAAAAAAAATACTACTGGAGAGAAGACCATTGTTGAAGGCAGGTAGGTGGTGGAATTTTCTTGTAATTAATATTTTTCAGATAGGCATGCTTTTATTTTTTGGGCTATTATTAATATGCTATATATGTTTAAATTTGTATGTATAGGTTGGTGTATGTAACTTAACCTTCGATCGCGAATATGCGTAAAGTTGATTTTTATTAAAAAATATAACGGTACGGCAACGAAGCTTAATTTATCAAAATATTACACGGGTCATATTTCTTTGTTTTTATACACTTTTTATACAATAGATTTCTAGATAAGTTCATTATGTTCTTACATAATGATGCAGATGTTATTTCTTTCAATTTTCAGCTTAATCGTTTTTCAAAGCTTTATTGAAGTGTATCAAATCTTTTTCCGGCGTTTGATCATATTTTAAATTATATGATAATAATCATACGGCTTTCTCTATGAAATGTAACATTAACCCTTATTCTAGTCAATATTGTATTGTGACTAAAATTATTATATGTGTATATCGTTATATTCATTTATATATAAATTTGTTAACCAAGAAATGGTGAATTTATAAACATAGGCGTACGTAACTGGTTTTAAATTTGTAATAACTTGTAAAACATGAGAAAATCGTGTGTTTGATTATGATGGATTTTGAATTAAATTAATTTTTTTCTATTAAATTAAATAATGTAAATATGTTTTATGATTATACAAAAACAATACGCATTGGTTTGCATTTCAGAACATTTCATCAAAGTCAGAAACTCGTCCGAATTGTTTGAAAAATCAATAGATATTGTTGATGAAGAATCAAATTTCATATGCCCGCCTCAATTGCATTACAATAAAGAGGTAATGGCCATAATACCGTGCGTCTCCGGGAAGAGGAAGTTTGAAGACCATGACAATAAGAGCCATAAGTCCAAAAATATAATTAAAACAATTTATGTAAATTATAATGCCGATAAGAATTCGAATCCTGAAACAGCTGGTAAAAAAAATGACGAAGAAAATGATTCTTCAAAGGATTCGGTTAGAAATGTAGATATTTGCGATTTAAATTTAAAGAATGAATTGATGCGCGGTGTTATAAGACCAGGACGTACAGGATCGTTTCGGGCTTACGATAATGAATCGTTATGGAATGCCTTGATGGATATAAAGGGAGGTTCTAGTATCTATAGGTGAAGGACTTATTATATTTAATACCTCATTTCCGTGTTGTATTACAGTAGTTATATGCAATGCATGTTTAAATATTACTAACCTAGCAATTGTTTAGATTAATTATTGGAATTTTGCATGTAATTGATGTAACTAACGCAACCGTAACCATACTTAAATTTTGTTGCAACTGATAATAGATTTTTTAATACTACTTGTATAGTTCATCGATGAAGTTGTTTCAAGCCTTCACTGTATATATATATATATATATATATATATATATATATATATTAGAATCTTTGTTGCACTTACAGTATTGATGTAGCATTTTATCATAATATTTGAATCGTATCTTTTGAAATACCAACAATAATTTCGACTTTGTCACATTTGTGTATTAAATATTTATCCGTTTTTTGGCTCTGCATTAAATGATAGGATGTCACACAAGTGCAACACCTACCTACGAAATATTTTCCTTCATTTTATTCTTAAAATAAAATAAGTATATACATGATTTTTTTTTAAATTACGTATTTTATATACACTGGAATTTAGCGTAAGTTTTTTTTTTTGTCATATATTTTTTCTTACATTGGTGACGAATTATATTGGAAATGTTTGGTACGTTTGGTACAATAGAGGTACTCAAAAAACCTTTGACCTTTATTTAATATTCTTAAACATATCTTTGAATATAAATTAACAATATATAGGTTTTTGTACAAATAATTACAATGAGTCTTAAATATATGCAATGATCATTAAAGTATTGCATTGAGGAAACTTTAATAAATTGGTAATGCTTTGCTAAGAAAATATTAGACTCCTTTATGTTTTATTTATGTGACGTTCATTTACATTTAATGTATATAGGTTAATTGATTACCCAGTAAAATCCTGATGCAACTAGATAAAGACAATTTTTTTTAAATCCATACGTTTCAGTGTGCGCAGAAATCGTCATTTAGTGTAATAAAAAATAAGTTATACCCTTGTTTTAATTACCAAATATAATTGAAACTTTGAATCAAATGATTTTAAAAACTATGTGTGCAGTCTTTTGATCGCAAAAGTTCACACATAGTTTTTAATATCATTTGATTCATTTTTTCAATTATTAGTCTGTTTAACCATTAGTGTAATTAGTAGTATATTGTTAATTAATGTGAGTGTATGTTTTATTTATTGCACTGAGTGTCAGTCTTGACATTAATAGACAGAAAAGTATGAATTCGTAATAAATAAATTTGTAAAGTTTAGTTACATCTTTGTTTTACTTGGTGTTGCGCCCGAATTAACCTATTATAATGTCGTGTGTATTCACACACATGAATTTTAGTACGCATAGTGTTATTTATCCTAATAGTTCCTATTTTATTCATTTTGGAATTCATTTTATTCGTGTTGCTGCATGCAAAAGTATAGTTTACGTTTATTATTTGCTTATTTGTGATTCCTTCTAGAACTATGTAGTTTCTATATTAATTTTTCACTTCAATCTAGGGCTTCGCAAGTTTACAATGTGCCGCGAAAGACTTTACGAAATTGGATGAAGCGCTGGGACATCAAGAGCAGCTATCCCATGCCCAGGCAACTCAAACAATTTGTAGATAATATGAAATTAAAAAAGCAGGCTTAAATTTATTATAGCTACTTAATAACAATCTAGTCTCGAATTATTCATGTTTAGATTTTATACTATTTTTGAATTAAGATATATTTTTAATTCGATTAATGTAATTGTGTATGAAATATGAAATCCTTTATTTGGGGAAAGTTTATTCTAAGATTCTTTGCCTACTTTCTAAAGTAGTGCTAACAAACCAAAGATTTAAATATTATATATATTTTTGAGTGCAATTATATTTAGTACCTATATTTTGTACCCGATACTAGTCAAAAAAAAAATTTAGTCATTGTATTTAATAAATATAAGTAAATTAAATATACTATTATATATAAATCATTGTTTCATTTAAATTATTTTAAATTTTAATTATTATTTAATTTTTTGATTTTTATTACTTTATAAAACTTTTTATTTCAGACTTTGCAATGGCTAATGTGAGTTGTGAATATCAAGACAATTTTGATATATCAATTGCAAATCGCTCTAACATCAAATTCGAAAACAGTTTTAACAATATAACAGGTAATACTATTCGCTCTTTTTTATTTTTTTAAGTTTTTATTCCCGTTGTAGTCATAAGTCACGTTTTATTTTTGTTTTTATTATTTAACAGAATTTATTTATAAAAAAAATAGACCGGAACTGTTATGAACTGTTTCAGATATAAAATTTATGTTCGTTAAATAATTAATTTTTACTTTATTCTTATTCGAATGACAAGATTGCATGGTTGGAGGTGATAACAACACTCCCCGCCGCATACGACGCTCCGAAGCTTTACTTAAACAAGCAGCAGATTGTGTTTCAAGAGGACAAACGTTTCAGCATGTCTCTGATATGTTTAGTATACCTATATCGACAATCAGGTATGTACATACATGTTTAATAAATGAAAATTCTCATGTAAATACAAATTGCTACACAATATTATATCTGCGATTTGATAGACATAAAAAAAATACAAAATCATTTTAATGAAATAATGAATGACCAAATTTTACTTTTGGATTTTTGTTAACCACTATAAGTAAAAGTAAATTTATTCAATTTGAATTGTTCAATATATTGCTGACTTAATTTATCATCACTTCAAGAAAATCACTTGTATTTGTAAATTATTTTTAATTTAAGACTTCACGATTTTGTATTATAATTCTAGATTTTTCATGGCAAGGAAAGGCATATTGCCACGAAGAAAGCGAGGTCGCTCATCAGGTTTTCAAATGGGCGGTGGCGGTAGTGGCCCGGATAGTCCTGTCAACTCCTTATATCAGTTTGCTAATTACAAGTTGCCTGCACTGCAACCAAAGCTTATGTAAAGTAATAACCTTTTAAGAAAACATTGCCATAAGTTAAGGTTGATCGCTAATTTTCCTTTATACTTGGCTTTTTGCAATCGATGTTTAAATGACTGGATAATTTATTCAAAGAAGAGTTTTTCACTACTTCACATTTTAGAATCAGTTTATGGTTACTCATTTTCTTTTATTAAAGTGAAGTATGTTATTATTCTTGTTTGATTGAATCACTTAGCAAAATTATTTATGATGAACATTAACGAAACTTGTAAATAAGCTGAAATTAGTTAATTTTATATGGTAATTTATATTTGTCCATTTTTATTTCACTTTTATCGCAAAATCATTTATCAAGCCAAATAGTAATGTGCTATTGAAAAGTCTTATAATCACTCCATGAATAAATATATTAATGAGCAATTAGTTTGTGCCATATTTTTTATACTCAGTATTATTTATTATTTATAGAAAATGTAGATCTTACAGCATTAATCTTCATTTTGCACGATTTATTATAAGGAATACATTTCTAGTCAATGTTGAAAGTCTGAAGTAAACATTTCATATTCATTTTTGTATCTTTCATGAAGTTGAAATGCAGTGATTATAAGACTTTCAAGTATGAGATTAAATTTTACAAATATCCATTTTTATCAATGTATATTTATTTCATTAAACATTGACAATAGCAGATAATAATCTACTTATTATTTTAAATTTGGATCTCATACAAAATTTATGATACAATATTGCCTTTTAGCTTCGTTTCACCTTCATAAGGATTATCATATAAATGTATGAATATACATTTATATGATACATGAATATGCATATATGATGTAGGAATATAAGAATACTTATAAATAGATATAAGTTATATTGTAAAATGAAAATCTAAAAGTAGTATAAAGTGCATTGCATGTATACTTTGTAAGGTAGTACATAAAACAAGAGATTACAAATTTAATTAAAACATATTTTATTAATAGTATGCTATAAAATATGAACAACTTTTATTTCTAAATGCTGCAATGATATTTATATTACTATAGTATATTCAGGAGTACAACAAACTTACTTTGCTAGAAGATTTTTTTAGTTCTCACCCGAAATATCATTGTTTGTATATTAGTTTTATTGTAGGCTGCTCTAAAACACCAATGAATTGTTTTTAGCATTATTTTTTCAGCATTGTATTTACTTTTCTCTTTAAATAGCAGATGATAAAATATGCATCTGTTGAAAACAGTGCAAACGCTTGTATAGTGACATTGAAGAATATAGCTTAAACTATACACCCAAGCGCCTTCAGTTTTGTTGCACAAATTTTTCTAAATGTTTATGTTATAAGTGCAGTCAAGCCAACTTTATAAATAATTTAAAGTTAATTATGTTAAATGCTATGAGAATTAAAGTAGTGCACATGTCTATGTATATATATATATATATATATATATATATATATATATATATATCACAAAAAAGATACTGCAGAATTACAATTTGAGAAAGTATTCTTTTAAATTTCATGTATCTCAATTTTATGATTTGGCAAAGATATTAAGCATGTGTAATGAAATTAAATGAAATCATTATGAAAATATGGCGATTATTCATCATTTTATTTGATCTATTACCAATATTATAAGTGTATATATTAACCCATTAAATGTTTTCTCCATTTCTGTGCATTAACAAATAACATTTTCATACCAAAAAATAAAGTACATAAAAAGCAGCCTATATACACGATGATTATATTTGTAATAATTATGAGAATAGAGACAAATATCATATTTTTATAGGTCAGTAATAGTGAACAATAGTAATAAAATATAATTATTTATCATGAAAGTATGTGTAGCTATATCTATAAGTTAATATGCCAATAGCTTCCCAAGATATTAGCTAGTTATTATGTAGTATTAATAGCTATTGTATATGTATAGCTATCTTCTGTGCAAACTGTATTAATTATGTAATTTTTAATTATAATGTTATTGCGATGAGTTTTCAGTTTTTGGCGATCGGGCAATTGTCTTACTATTTTGAACATTCTTAAAGTGTTTGCTGTGGCATAAAATAATTTCATTATAGTTATGCATTGGTATATTTAGTTTCAGTTTAAATTCAATAAGGATAATTGTCTGATTTTATGATCTATACGTATAACTGAATCATGTCACTAGGTTAAATGATAGCTTATATTGAACCTTTCAGATTAAATACTTTTTGTATTTGATCTTGTAGTAATATGAAACTAATTTTTGTAGAGCCAGCCTGTTGGTACTAGTCACACACAAACTCCTGTATAATTAAGTAACTCTTTGTGTAATCATAAATAAAAGAGCATTATCAATCAGATCACAAAATAGCAAGTATGCAATAATTATCTCATAAACTACTTTTATAAATTTTGCCATTATTAAACTGCTTACCGATAATATAACTCTGTGATATCAACCCCAGTGCAAACAAAACATTTTTAAGTTCTTAAAAAAATAGTACACGGAAAATTTAATGTCAAAACATTTTTGTATTATAGTGTATGTTCATACATATTTTTACATCATTATTTGTAGGTACTTGTGAATTTCAACACTGATAATTTTGAATATTAGTAACAATCTTTTGTACCTACTTAA